TTGTTAGATTGTCCTTTTGCTGTGTCAACTCCAAAACCTTGGATTGAAACAAATTGATTATATTTAATTTGCAAAAGAAGCTCTGTGCACTACAAAAGTGATATAGAGAGAGCTGAAGTTTGCAACTTTTATGAACATTAAGCACATGTGCTTATTTTGTACAATTCTGCTTCTAGTTTTCTCCTACTCTATTTATAGATACAATTATAAAGTGGGGGCAGTCAATCAAATTTGGTAAGAGAAATAAATCACAAAGAAATAAACAAAATCAGTGTATTTAATTCAAATGAGTCCAGTTCCTGCCAGGAAGTGTTTCCATTGTAAATTTTGTGATATAGTTATGTACAGCTATTTCTGTCCTTAAAAAATGTTTGTAAGAGTTTCCCACCTCCAGCATATAAAGAACAGTTTCTGCCAACATGCCCCCTGGGCTAAATGTCCCATCAGTCCAATCAGTGTGACCAGTCACACAGGGTGACCATCAGAGCTGTCCAAAACAGTTTTTAGTCTTTTGGAACAAAAAACAAAGCAAAAATAAGCACTGTATTATTTTATGGCTCCCATATTCTTTGATACTTGGGAACAACAACCACATCTTGGATAGGAGCCAGGCATTTCCTGTAGAAGACTATTGAAATTAGTGAGACAAATATAAGTTCTGTTCATTTCCTTAGACTGGGTCCAAGCATGACCAAGTCTTGGTCCAAACCATTGATACTAAACTAAGTGGGCCATTGATTACAATCCATGCTTTAGGCTTGAAATCACTTACTGAACCGAGTGTAGGTAATAAGTGGACACACTGCATAGTTAAACCACAGAATTTGCTACCATGAGAAAGGGTGATGGCTGCCAATCTGGATGCCTTTCATAAGGGATGAGACAGGTTCATGGGTGAGGAGGCTATCAGTGGCTACTAGCCTCATCGGCCATGTGCAACCTCCTTCACCAGAGGTGTGGCACCTCCAGTTGTGGGGGAGCTTGGCCAGGTGGAGGTCTTGCACACCTTCTGCTTGAGGGATCCCATGGACAGTTGGTTTGCCACCGTGTGTATCAAGTGTTGGGCTAGATGGACCTTTGGTCTGATTCAGCAGGTCTTGCCTTGCATTCTTCGTGATTGGAGAGAATCTTCTGGGACTGGGGACAATGAAGGTCCACCTTAGTTGCAAATGCTGCAATATAGAAATATATTTGTGTTCCAATGGGGAGTTACAGATCTCTTATGAAGAGTCAATGTGACAGGAAGAAAGAAAGAGAAACCAGGTCACAAGAAATGTATGGAGGCTGGTTGATCTTCCATAGCTTGTATGATGTTCCATCACCTTAATTTCCGAAAGTTGATTGACTCAATCCCTGTGGGCAACTGGGATTAGATGCTTCCCCCAATTGTGGAGCAACCCAAACTACACAGAGCCTGAGGTCTTTTTCAGTAATAAGAAGGGTGATCTTGAGTAACAGCAGACTGGAGTCTTTGGTAATGGGACAGGGCAGGGTTGCTCTGATGACTGGCTGTTTCTTACAGGGAGTACGTGCACAGAAGAGGAAGGAAGGGCCTGATGGTCCACACAGTTCCCCCAGGCATCAGCCCATTCCTTCAGCCGTGTAACTTGGATTACTCCTAAGGGCTGGAGATGATGATTCAATTGTGATTGGCACAGGGGTCCTATTTGATTACCAGTGCTTCCCAGCAGAAGCTGTTTGTTAAAATGGGAAGCTGAGCAAGCAAAGCTGTTTTGCTTTCTGGAGTCCTTTTGTGGCTATTAGTGTCGATTAGAACCCCAGATGAGAAAGCAGATCAGGATTTGGGGAAGGTGGCAGGGAGCCTAATTAAAGTTTCTCTCTTGTATCAAAAGAATATCTTTGTCCAGTGCCATGGTGAGCTCATCCTCAGAGACAGGCAGGGAAGTTCCGCCCCATTGTTCTGTTACTATGTGTCTATGTTGTTTTCTTGTTCCGCTTTACTCTTCGAATTGCACTATTCATGACTAGACACATTGCTAGGAGAAGCAGTGCAATTCATCTTCTTTTTTCTTTTAGATTTTCAAGAATTCTGTTAATAAGGTGGAAATATCCCTTTCCAATATACCCTTTCCCATGATCCATATTAAGGCATTTCTATTCCTATGAGATTGCAGAGAGCATCCCATCCCCATCCCCCTGCTGCTTACACAGAGAACAGCATATCAAAGAGAGGAAATGAAACGGGTGGAAGGGAAGGATAAATAAAGGCGCTGGTGCTGACCTATAGAGCCCTAAATGGCTTAGGGCCTGGTTACCTGAAGGAGGCTCTCCTTCCACATGTGTCTGCCTGTCCCTTAAGATCTGGGGCAGAGGTGCTTCTCTGGGAGCCCTCTTTGAAGGAGATTAGGAGGGGGACTACCTGGAGGAGGGCCTTCTCTGTGGTGGCACCCCGGTTGTGGAATTCGCTCCCCAGAGAGGTTCGCCTGGCACCATCACTTTATTCTTTTCGGCGCCAGGCTAAAACCTTTGTATTTTCTCAATTTTTAAGGTCTGACTGTTTTTAATATGGGTTTCATTGTTGGTTGGTTAAGAATTTGATTAGGATGCTGTGTTCTGTTTTACTTTGTCTTATTGTTAAACCGTTCCAAGACCACAGCAAGGGGCAGTCTAAAAAAGTTTTAAACAAATAAATATAAATAAATAAAAGTTGGGACAAAGTAGGATTGTATGCCAATGCCATCATGGGCAATGCCCGCTTTTGCGGTTACTTTGCTACAGGACTGTTCATGCCTTTGCATTGTGTATATTTTCCTGTGGAATCTTGACAGCTAAACACATTTTTTCCTTCAGTTGCCAAGCAGAATTAGTGGCACATGATGATCACCTGAAAATCCGAGTCAGTGCCCGTTTCCTACCCAAAATGTCTCACCTCCTCCACGGCTTGCAAAGGAGCTTCGTCCCTCGCTTCTCCTCTTGCTAACTTTTTGTGAGCTGAGCCTGCAGGAAAAGCCAACCATTGTCTTGGCTTTAGAGGAAAATTAGGTGTCATTTACACACTGTGAAGGGTGCCAAATTATCTTTTGCTAGTACAGCAAATAGGTGTGGGCACCATTGTCAAGTTCGCCACTTACCTTAGCCAGCACCTGTCTTTCCGCAAACAATGTCAAACCCAGGAAGCAGTTTAATCACCACTTGCAATATGGGCACTCACATTTTATCCGGAGCTGCTTCTCTCATTTTCACTTAGTGAGAGGCCAGCTGTAAAAGAGGGTAGAGCTCCCATATCTTCAGTAATTGAACTGGGGGACGAATTCTAGAAATAATGAAAGCGCTTAGAAGAAAGAAGGGTGAGAATGCTAACAATGGAAATGAAGCTCAGACTATGCTGCACTGTCTCGATCTCACAAGCGTTGGTTAAGTCCTCTCTAGTCTGTTTGCGCATTAATGCTCTGAACAAAATTAAAATGCTCCAAATGTTATTTATGCTTATCCAAACTACCTCCTTTTACAGGCATTTCATTACACAATGCACCTTTTATTTATTGTTACATTCGAAAGCTAAATGTTGCATTGAAGAATTCAACCCAATGTGACTTTGGAAGGACGGATGAAGCCTGATACACATGTGAGGTCAGAAAGCGCAACTCATTCGCTTCCATGTGTGAACCAAACAAAATATTTGAACTTTCCTAATTCGCTGGTTGAAAACCACGTACTGTGCTATCTTCCAAAGCCACGTTGTGCTATTTCAATAAGAGAAATGAGTTGAGCGTGGCCTATCAGGTGGAAAGTGGTAACTCAGGAATGTGTTTCTTTTCTGTGCAGCCCCAGTCAAGCTGGGGCTTTGTACTTGCCGCTCCTGCCCATGAATCATCCCAATTGCTGTATAGTCATTTCCTCCTCCTCCTCCTCCTCGAAGGGTGCAGCACTTGCATCTAATGCAGGCTGAGAGCTCTGTTAGCGCTTAATGCAGCATTTCGATAATCCCCGCATTGCAAACACTTCTTTGCTGCTCGGAGAAACCTCCCCATTTGTATTCCCCACTGCGGCATGTCATGTAGCAGAACCCCGGAGGTTTTGGTTCCATATCTTGTCTGTTTTTGCCACTAGGGCCTCTTCCTTGGCTGCCAAGTGTTTTGGGTTCCCTTCTGCAAGCTCTGGCTATTGTGGACTGAAACTGAACCTACGAGTTTCCACTGCCACCACTGAGTCTTTTTGCAGGAGAATCAGTGTCTGCGGCCAAGTACAATGTCCATTGTAGTAGCTGGGTCTTAAAGATGGGCTTTTAGCAGGTGATTGGAATGACCGCAGTAGCATAATATGGGTCTGTATTTCTCCTTGAAAAGTGCTGGCATAGGAACAGGCAGTGTGGGCTTCAGTCTGTGGTCAAGCGGAGTAGGTAACTTCACCCCTGTTGCTCCTTTTTCTCCCTGACCTCCTTCACAAGACTGTTGTGAGGATGAAATGGGGAGCCAGCGTGGCGCAGTGGTTGAGAGTGCAAGACTGGGACCCAAGCGAGCTGGGTTCACCTTCCCGCCATGGAGCCAGCTGGGATACTGGGGAGGGGACGGGCAGGGCCATTTTGGAGTGTGTGTCTCCAAGCTGGAGACCTTTTTATGACACTGAGCTGCTGCTTTATGGCACAGCCAGTGTGGTGTAGGGGTTAAAAGAGCAGGACTGGGACTCAGCTGATCAGGGTTCTAGTCCCCGCTTGGTCGTGGAGCCCAGTGGGTGACTTGGGGCCATTCACAGACTCTCAGGCCTACCCACCGCACAGGGTTCTTGTATGATGATGTGAACCCCACGGAGTTCTTTAAAAGGGGTGTGGGGACAGGGCATGAATCTACGTAAACAAACAAACCCTGTCTGTGTAAGCTGCCCCAAGGGCGAAACAGAAAGGTGCGGATGCTGGGTTTGTGCATGGGCGTGTCAAAGAACGGTTCTCTCTTCCCTTGCTCCAGGGCGGCCTGATTGCTCTCTTGCTGCTGCTGCTGCTTTTCACCGTCGCCTTTTATGCTCAGCGCCGCTGGTACAAGCAGCGCAGGATCCCGCAGAAGAGTGCCAGCACGGAGGCGACCCACGAGATCCATTACATCCCGTCGGTGCTGCTGGGCTCACAGGGAAGGGAGAGCTTCCGGAACGCGCGCCTGCAGGCCCACGCCTCGGTAATTGGCATGCCCATCCGCGAGACCCCGATCCTGGACGACTACGACTACGAGGAGGAGGAGAACCCACTGCGGCCTGAGCTCGGCTGCAGGGATGACGAGTTTGGGGGCCAGACGATGCAGCCGCTGGACAGCCTGGACCGGAGCGGGGAGAAACCTGACTACGAAAAGAAAGGTTTGCCGCGCTCGCTTTTGCTGCCCTTGCTCTTTGCTGGAGATAGCCATCTTTGGAATGTGCCTGGAGGGTCATTAAGAAGTGATAGATGAGCATGGAAGCCGCCATGCCGGGCGTTCAATCTTCTCTCTCCCAGGCTTGTGATGTGTAAGCGCAGTGGGCCACCGCACTTTAAACGAGCTTTGGGTTTCTGAGCTGCAGCTGCCTGGCATCCAGAAAGTGTCACAAATGCATGGCCCTGTTGTAAGGGATGCTGGGGGGAACGAGAGCCCGTCCAGTCTCCTCCTCGTTTATAAAAATGATCGTTGTTTCCCAATGGGGGACTTGGGCAGGCGTGTGTTACAGCTCTGTAGGGAACCAGCCTCTGGCGTTGAACATGTAGCCGACTCTGGTTTGTGTGGCCAGCAACCTTGAGAAAAGGACTTTTCACCTTTTCACAGTTCTCCTGTCCTCTTGCCTGAAGGAACCTTTCCGGGAAAAGAATAGTGCAGGGTCTTTCAGTGCTGTGGTGCATAGAGTCCTTTTGATCTTCAAACCTCTTCTTGATGGGGGAGGGAATCATTGTCTTGTAAGACCATCCAATGACAGGGAGGAAGGGTATCCTTCTTGCAGATCCCTGGCTGTGCATTCAGTGTGTGGGAGAAGGTTGTTTGGAGCCACCCGTTTCCCCATGGATAACAGAAGAGTCCCTGTTGTTCTGCCCCTCATTTATGTCCTTCACTGTGAAGGACAATTCTGTCTATTCTCATCAAAAGGCTTCTTCTGTCCACTGCCCATCTGCCGGTGTGTATAGCCAAACAGAAATGTCCTCTTGGGCTTGGAATTGATAAAACGCCACCGGTGGATGGATGGAATGGGAGGGCCCAGCAAGGGGACAAAGCAAGCTGCAATGCTGCGTCAGACTCTTTGCCTAGCTAGCCCAGGATGCTATTGCATACTCTGACTGGCAGAAGCTTCCCAGGGACTCAGGCAAAGAAAGGGTTTTCCTAGCTTGCTACTTGCTTTGTTTCTTCGTTTGTTTTCAAATTGGATTGGTCAAGGACTGGGTCTGGAGCTTTCTGCATGCGAGCCATGGGCATTACCCTGAGCTGCGCTGCTGATTGATTTCATGCTGTTGCACTGAAATGGCTTGGCTTCCAGTTGGATGGGGGCCCGGTTGGGCCGGAGTGTTTGCTCCAGGTGGGCGTGCCTGTGAGCATGCGTCTCCTGCAAGTGCAGAGTGAAAATGGAACCTGGCACTGCTTAGGGTTTCTTTGTTTTTCTCATTTTCTTCTTTATGATAAATCTATGGCTGTGTAGGGTTGGTTAAAAAAATACTGCATTCTGATTTGAGATTGGCCCAATGGGAATCATACCATGTGATGATAGAGTGTTCCCAGAGGCATTTTTTTTAAAAGATAACTTTACTCCACTACCCGGTTGGGCTCTTCTTAATTAGGTTTCCATTGTGCTGTTGTGCATGGCAGGATTTATTTATTTGTTAAAAGCTTTTCTAACCCATCCACTACAGTCGTCTTGTGGCAGCGTACAAAAAATGAGTAGAATAAAGCAAACCCCACAGCATCTGACAATTAATATACTAAAACCCCAGTTAAATCAATTAAACTTTAAAACAGTGGGGAAATAAAAAGGTTTCCCAGTCCCACCTCATGTGAATTTAGCCAAGTTCCTAAAGCGCTATTCTCTGATGGACGTGTGTGAGAGAGACAGAGAGCGCCTGTGGGGGAACAGCACTTGTGAGCACCCAGGTATGCAATCAGAGAGCAATGACTATGCCAAAGGGTTTCCGTTCAGAATAAGAAAATGTGTATTGGAAATGTGAAGTTTTATTGGGAAGAGATTGAACTTCTGGGATCCTCTCTGAAATGTTGGACTTTCCCATAAGGGTGCTTCTGTTTGCAAGCTGAACCAGTTCTGGGGTATCACAGCAGTCGCATTCAGGGCAATCCCATACAAAAACTAGCATGGCATTCGGGAAACCTGCAGCCAGAAGGTTTTCCTGGAAGTCACATCATGTGGTGGGTTCAGTTGATTAGAAAGAAGTTTTGGTGGGTTTCCATGTTTAGATTTCAGCTTTGGAGCAAACTCTCAGTTCCTGCTGCGGAATGAGCCCATGGCGATCTGTGCTTGGTTTCTAGGCTTCCAGTAGCCATCTGGTTAGCCACTTGGGGCATGGGATATTGGACTGGAGAAAGCTTAGATTTGCACCAGTGTGACTGTTCCTGTGTTTTAAGTCCACCCCTTTTCACCCTCCCAAATCCTTGAAATAGTTTTATAGCATTTGTCTTCATTGCATGGTCGTAAAAATTTTAGAAAAAATGGGGAGATTGTCTCTTGGGTAAAGTGCTGTATAAAACTAGTGTCAAGGAGTGTTGTTATTGTATAGTCCTTCTTCTTTTGCAGCACTTTAACTGCCTTTATTGGGCCTGTTACCTTTGTTGAAAGCCAGTGTGATGTTGTGGATAAGTGCATGGGGCTACATATAAGGTGCTCTGGGTTCTAGTCTCCACCCAGCAATGGAGCCAACTGCGTAACTTTAGACAAAACTCTCTGCCCAACCTACCTTACAGGGCTGTTGCAATGAGATTGTGAGGAGGAAGAGGAGACTTATAGAAACAGAGAAACAGAGCGAGTCAGAAGGGGCCTCCCAGGCCATCTAGTCTGACCTCTGGCACCAGCCAGCTCCGCTCATGACATGCCCACCATGTGCACATCCAGCCTATCCTTGAACACCCTCACCGATGGGGCCTCAACCACCTCCCGTGGAAAGACATGCTATCCTGGTAAACCCCACCAATGGTTTCTTAGAAACAGAGCGAGCCAGAAGGGGCCTCCTGGGCCATCTAGTCTGACCCCCGGCTCCAGCCGGCTCCGCTCATGACATGCCCACCATGTGCATGTTCAGCTCATCCTTGAACACCTGCACCAATGGGGCCTCAACCACCTCCCGTGGAAGCCCGTTCCAGACCCTGTGTGTGTGGCCTTGAGTTCCTTGGAAGGAAAAAAAAAGGTGGGATATAAATAACATGAATTAATGAAGGGTGTAATCTCCATTTTAAAGAAAGGAGAACTGAGACCAGGAATTATTTATGCCTAAGACATGAATGAGGTTCCAAAGCCCACAAAGTCTCTTTGCAAGCCACCCTCTCTGTTCCTCATATCTCAAATACTAGCGACTTGATTTCACTTAATTGTTGAGGATGAACATAGTAATGTGTTTAATCGCTTTGTGAATTAAAAGTGCGGTGCAAATTACAAACCTAAGCAGTGGTATAATTACTTTAAGAAATCCAGACACCTTGTTATTTTGCCTAAAGATTTTCTCCTTAAAATGAAATGATCCTTAAACACACAATGAATACACAATTCACAGTTTGTTTTGCTTGCGCCAGGATGGGACCTTAGGCTGAAGCTCTGGGGAACGTCTCCTTCCCTCCCTTTCGCTCCCCGCCCAAGTCGCATCTGCTCCTACCTGCTTAAGTAAACCTCCCACACATTCATAGGGGAGCCAGCTTCAGTGCAAGAATTAAAATTTCCTGCAGCCCTTAATTTATTTATGGTGGAAAGATATTCGCTTTTATATTAAAAATCTATAGAGTGGATTAAACCTCTACAGAAAACTGATGTCTCACTTAGGTCCCTGAGTATATTATCTCCGCACAGCTTCTGCCAGATCTTGAATATTTGCTTGACAGCATGGATGAAGGAGGGAAACACCCCCTCCACATTCCTGGCATATTCTAGAAGCAAACATCTAATTTCTAATGCTCAGGCACCTCTGCGTTTTGCACTCTGCTCTAAGGTTCCAAAAATGAACCGTCCTACCGTTCTTATTGTGCATTCTGAGAATGAAGGAGAGCTCTCGCAGAGCCAGCTGCAGGTCCAGCCGGCTGTACATCCTCCATCCCGTCGTGGCCAGCCAGATATTTTCTGGAAGGCCACAAACAGGCTGTCAAGTGGCCCTCTCAGAGTTTTTGTTTTTCTGCAGGGGGAGCTGGCATGCTGCCTCAGGTACTAAATCAGGGGTGGGAAACTAGTGCTCCCCCTTGCAACTCCCATCATGGTCAGCATAGCGAACGGTGGTGCTGATAGGAATTGTAGACCAAGCATCTGGAGGGCCGCCATTAGCCCAAGCTGCCTTGATGGCTTCATCCAGGTCTACAGAACTTTTTCCCACAAGGCTGTCTCTTCATCTGCTTTTAAAGTCAGAGAAGCCTGCAAGCTTCGTCACACCTCATGGCAGCAATTTCCAGATTTGTATTCCATGTCATCTTCCATCTATCCAGAACCCGACTGCTTATCAATGCTGTGGGTAGGTGCACGAGTGAGACCTTGATCTCCAGTGTTGTCAGGGAGGAGGGAAACAATATGGCCCCTGCATCCCCTTTCTTGACCCCATGACTAATATTCTAGCCTTCCTCCATCATTATTTCTTTAAAACCTTGCAGCCCGTGAGCTGATTTTGAAAGATCTCTGCCTGTGGCCAGTTCAAACCTGTGGCAACCCAAAAGTTGGCACAGCAGAAGAAGATGGGGAGAGGAAGGGGAAGGGGAATCCATGGGCCTGTTTGGTAACCCCTCACTGGGAACCACTGCTGCCTTTTCCTAATGTAGTAGTAACTTGAGCAACTCATGTGGCCACCATGGTTTCCACTTTTTGACCATGGACTTCTCAAGTGACTTCTAAGTCAGCATGGTTTCCACCTTCCCCGCTTGCATCTCATCAGCCACTGTACCTGAAATTCAATCCCAAGGTGCATCATTCCCTACCAAGGTTGCCTGCCTCTTCCTCATTGGTCCACACATAGAGACATGGGATGCCTCTCACGATTGCAACTCTTTCCAGGGGACTGTGGAAGCATGGTTTCAGACAACACGGCAAGCCCTGCTGGTACAAAGGAACCGTAGAACCGGCCATTGTTTCTTATCATGGTCTGTAAAGGCCAGACTTAACTATGGAGAAACAGAGATGGATTCAGGCCACCAAAGAGATCAACAATG